GTGGGCAAGGCCCAATATGTGTTTATATGTTATTGTATGGTATGTGGTAGTTTGGGGGAGCTCACTAAGCCTTATGCTTACAGTTTTCAGTTTTGGTTTCAGGTATTCAGTTTTCAAAGGAGGAGCTCGGGAAGATTGCAGTGCACACACCATTTGTTCAGCCTGGGATGTTTATACTCTGATATATTTGACAGTTGTTATGATGTTTTGAGATACATTGTCTATGATTCTTATATGACGTTTGATGAATATGGTTTTATTACTGATTTAAAACGGAATTTTCAGACTGTGTTTTTGGGATGTTACAGCGATGGGTGGCTGGAATTGAAGATGGAAAAGTGAAGGTAACGATTAAGAAATAGGTAAAAGGGATAGTTTCTACTGTGAAGCTAGGTATATGTGAATGGGTGAGGATGCCATGGAGAGATGAAAGGGTGGGCCCATATCTCATAAACAATTTCTTTTAAAATTTCTCTTAATAAGCTAATAATAAACAAAATAATTAAATAAATAGATAAGGGTATATTGGTCATTTTAAGTCGGTTAGGGACCAACAAAGCAACAAAATCAAACCACAGGGATGGTTCAAGTTAAAAAAATAACTTAGGGACCAAACACACAAATTACCTAAAACCACAGGGACGACTTGTGTAATTTACTCTTTTTATTTTTACCAATAAAAAATGACCTTAGCACATTTTCCGAGAAGCGCCACGCGTAGGTGGGTTGCATGGCGCACCTTCTAGAAGGTGGGGCGTGTACCGCCATATTTGCGACACATGGCAGAAAAATGGGAGGAGCAACGTCTCATGTGTGCGCGACGCGCAGTCATGCTCATTTGCTTCCTCACTCCTCCTCCTCCTCCTCCTCCTCTCTCTCTCTCTCTCTCTCTCTCGCTCTCGAAATTCTCTCGATTTTAGTCCATTTCTCTTAGTTTTAGCCTTCGGTGAAGCCCTGCGATCCCTGAAGAAGTAGTAGCTAGCGAGTAGAAGCTCTGCCAGTTCAATTTCCTAACTTCTGTCAGAAAGAACCTCTGTAAGTTAAGCTACACTCTAGTTTTTTCTGTGTAACTTATATTTATAGTCACAAGTCGTCATTATGAACCTATAAATAAGATTTATCTGTAGTTCCATGTTATTATACTGATTGATCTACTAGCGGGAGAGGTGTCTAGAATAG